AGAATCTGAGTTATTGTAAACATACAGCAGATTTAGAATAACTGTGACATGCCACTACTAAAATAGTCCCATGCATACGCACCCAAGAACAATTTCAACCACACGGTTCACTGTAGTCACCTGACTTTTTATTATGTGATGATAGATTTTTCTTGTCTGGGTCTGTTTGTGGTGTGGTGGTTAAGGCTGGTTAGTTCAAATGAAATGCACTGGTGTGTCCTTAAACAGGACGCTTAACCCCAGGGTTGCTCCAGGGGGTTTGTCCTTGTAATAAGTTCATGGTGCTGTGCTGCGGTGACATTGGGTTGAAGTCACAGTAACCGGAAAACTCTGATCGTGTGGTGAGAAAATTTGATTTTAAAATATAATCCTATTTGTCCTGATATGAAAGACAGTGGTGAGTTTACTTGTAAAAAATCATGTCAGATCTGTTATGTTTGTGCATTTAACTCTAAATCAATATGATACTTCATCTCTGCTCTAGTGTTTAATCATTCTGGTTCTGACCGCTGGATTCAAGTGTGATTTCGTCATATTAATGAAACACCTGATGATTCATGTTTTGCACCCACATTGTTTTGATTAAAAACGTCCTTGATGCGTCTCTGAGAATCTCTTCATGTCAACATGAAATAACATTCACCATCCATTTTACTACAGCAATGTGATGAATTTCTGAACAAAAAAAAATAACTTTCAAGCTGACTTTAAAACTATGAAGAAGTGAAAAATGTGGGGGGAAAAACTATTATATATTATTTATGTATGTTATATAATTATTTAATGATATATTAAAAACAATCAACGATATATTATTTAAATAATGAATTATATGTTCAGCACAATTTCTGTTTTATTGCCTTTTGCTGACTTAATGTAAAAAGATAGAATTAAGTTAGAAATTAGAATCAACTTTGAGAATAATTAGAAAATTAGATAAAAGCATTTGAAATTTAAAAATGAACTTAATTGTCATAAAAAATAATGCAAATATATAATGCACTTACAACTGTGTGTAAATGTGTATATCAGTCTAGAATAACTTTGTTTATTATTATTTTCTTGTTTATTTATTTTTGGGTCCAGACTGATTTTTACATCCATGCAATAAGATACAAAACCCCTCAATTTTGAGTCCTGATCACCATTTCAGAGTTTATTTTGCAATAATGATTGGGTGACTCTGCATTATCCTTGTTTTATTCTTGTTGTTTTGGGGTCAATTATGATATGCATGTGTTTTCATGAGATTCGGCAGGGTGGAATTATGGGACTGTAAATTACTGGTTGTGTTTGAGTGATTCTCAAACCTGTTTGTATAAGAGGTTTCATTGTCATGTACTTTTCTTGAACTGTATGGTACTGTACTTCATCACTGAGAGACAAGAACACACAGGTCATAGTTGTTTTGATGATTGAGTGGTTGAAAATAAGCTCTTTTCTATCTTAAGCTGATGGTCATGTGTGACCGGCCCTGGTTATCTGTGGGAAACCAGAACTGGACTAACGTGTTTCAAGAAAACAACTGTTATAGGAGAATTGCGTGTAAACAGAAGAACTGTGAGTGTGTTTTGAGCACACAACCTTAAGGTGCCTCATATATATTCAAATCCTGTGTACAGAAAGCTTTCTTTTGTGGTTTCGGCTCTCTTTAAGCAGGTGACCCGTTCTCGTGGTTAGCTATGCAGCACGTCGTAAAAATAACCTCAGTCTGGCCCAGAACATGCCAGGTGACAGCAAGTGTCATGAACTTGACAGATGCACGTGATGCCACAATGCCACCACCATCAATCCCACAATCCTCTTAGTGTAGGACACACCTGAGGACCAATCAGCGGCTGGAGGATTAGCCAATCAGAGATCAAGATGTACCATCACAATTGCACTTCTGCAGCATCCATCTGTCAGAAGTCACTCACACCAGAATTATTGTTATTAACTAGAAGAACTATTAAACATGTTTAACTACTAAAACTATTAAGCTCAGGAAAGCAATGCAAACATTGTTGTTTAATTTGTGCCGTTTTACTTGTAATTAATGTTTTATGTGATGTATACCCTTCTAATGCTCTGTAATATGATATTTTGTTTGTATTGTATTCCTGCTCATTTCTGAAAAGGTGGTCAGACCAGGGTTATTATCATTAACTAAAACCATAAAAAAGTTTAATTTGAAATAAAATAAAACTTTAAACTTACTTTATTCCAGCCTTTATTCCAAGAAAACATTCTCATTTAACTTAAAGGGGTCATATGATGCTTTTTTAAAGATCATTAT